TCAGAAAATGTGGAATAAAAATTCTCTTGGTGTTGTGGTTAATGCAGTCACCGGGCGGTCCCTTGTTTCAGCGTGAGAGTATTCGTGAACGAGAAGAATATATAGGATAAATGTCAGTCGAATTGTCAGACGATACAAATGTCAAATGTAGAATTGCTTTGTCATTATCTGGTGAATCGAGTGCAACATTATATATTATTACGTAAATATTATACTACAGTAAATTAGTACCTTTTATTTGATTTATATTCTTGTTTCTAGACTGGATAAGAGAAAATTGAATTCTTTATTTATTACATTCATTGGTACATTGTGTAAGGAGACTAAATGTAAGAAAACATGAATTTATATTGTTGCTATCCTAACCTTAAATAAATTTACAGCTTTGAGCTATCTTGATCGGGAACACAGACGAGTTGCTTTGAAGACCTCCGAAATAATTTCAACACTTGGTGACTTGTCGATATGATCTAGAATATCCGGAATATGTGCATGTTTTTAAGCCATGTGATTTCATTTCTTGCAAATACATATGTCGCTCGTTTGCATTTGCAAACAACTTATTATTGGGATTATGAGAATGATTTAAATTATTTTTACATTGTTTGATTGATATAGTTGTAACATACATCCATCCTTTACTTCGTGGTAATATCGACAATTATCTTTTCATTGTTACATGTACTGCAGTTTAAAGTCTGAATAACAGTAGTTGTATAACAAAAGAAAATTTGAGTCGAAGAAAAACCATTCTACTTATATTCCATATTTATTTATAAATTGGCAAAGACTAGAAAAAAAAACCCGAATTTATGCAGGATGCAGAAGAAGTCTAATTGCTTCGATGAAGCTTATAAATTCAAAAAGATAAGGCCTACAAAACTAAAGACAATAAAAGGAAAGGTTGAAAGTTTTATTGTATTCTTTCACTGCAACAAAAATTATAATGTAATGAGTATTTTTTTTTAAATAGCAAAACTTCTCAATTTCTGCGTTGAGGAAAAAAAATCATTGCATGTGACATCCAAAAGCGTCTATGGGACTACCCAACAAACAATTTGAGTTGATCAACAGCTGAATAAGCTATTTTTTAGCTGAAGAAGCTTGGGTTTGCCTGAATAAGCTCTTATTCAACATTCAATGTTTGTTGGGTAACAGCACACTCTCAGATTCCAATTAATCTTTGTGGGTGTGAAGGTTTAGCATAGTTATGTAAGCAAAGCAGAGCCTAATATGATTTTCATCAATGCAGACCTAGGACACGCAATGACCTTATATTCTAAAGGCAGTCATGCTTAATATCAAATTAAATTAATTCCGCTTTAAGGAAAATTAATCATTTCAGTTGCTAGGCTGAAAAATATAAATATCAAAAACTATATAAAGTTCTTTAATTACGCACTGTAGTTAGTCAAAATATTAAAATTTAAAATGTCATCACTAAAGTTCATCAGTGTTATTAATTACATTGTCAGTTCTTTCACGGACGTCAAGTACGGAAAAATAATTTTAATAAATTTAATAGTTTCGTAAAAAAAATAACATATTTCGCGTTTCGTAATATTTGAACGGGACCCAAGTATCCTTCCATCCCATCGCTGGTTGTCAAGGTGATCATGCCGTGATCCACTTTTAACCGCTGACTTTCTGCTAGCCACGTCATCCGATGAGGAAATGACCAGCGGTACGACAGCACCGCTGTTTTATATGCTTTCAGGATCAAGCAGAACGATGTGCAACCAAGTGGTACTCGATTATGGCGACTGGGTTTGGAGAAAACGTTTATTTCATTAAAACAGTGATAACATTATCATTTGAATATTTTTCAAAAGATTGATCGTTGAAATTGAGCAAAGTATCTATTTCTTTATTTCAACAGATTTGTAGAGTTATTTCCTATCGATTGGCGAATTTGGAATTTAATTTCATCTATAAATGACAAAGTTACAAGTGTTCAAAACCTAACACTATTTCTTCATGCATTTTTTTTAAATTTCCATCCCAGTATAGTTCACAAAGACGTAGTTCTACGTCAAAAAAGTACTTGTAAGCATTTTACTATCTAGTACTCCGCACCAGATTTGAGGGCATAACTTTAGCATTCTTCAAAAAAACAAATGAAAAAATCGACGCGGCGGGGGTAACAATTTAACTATTAGGCACGATTTTACGGTGACTTTTCTTTTTTTTTTTTTCCTTTGGTTTGTTTTTTCCGTCGATCTTGTTTTCCGTGCTGAGCACCAATGCTACCGACGACGTGCCAGGAAGACAGCTCCCACGCCTGGACCCTACCTATCGACCCATCAACTCAAGAACCGGGGACCAACGGCTTTACTTCCCATCCGAAGGAAGGCGTGATCAGAGATGTTATGCCTTAGAACATCCCGGCGGCGCCGACTGGGATTGAACCCAGGCCTGCTGGGGTGAGAGGTAATCACGCTTACCACTACACCACCGGCGCCGTTAGGTGATTTTTCTCTCAGTGTATTTATTTTCGCATAGACCATACTATTACCTAAAACTTCTTTCCACACGTCATTATGATCAAATATACCATTTTCAACTTATGATTTTTTGAAAATAAAACCCATTTTTATACAGGCTCTTATAAAAAAATTAATCCATACATGCAAAGTTTCATTAAAATCGGAGAGAGCCCAACCTATTTGTTCTTTGGATTGTAAATTCTCTATAGAATGTTGCGTCAAAAGGTAGGCAATTTCTGTAATAATATTAGGAAATTTGACCACATTCTCTAGAGACTGTAAATTTTTATTCATAATATTTTTAGTACTAGTGACACTTAACTTCGTCAAAAAGCACTTTGAAACATGTCGTTGTTTATTCGCTTCAGCACGTGTTTTTTCAACTAATAATTAAAAAAAAACAGTAGTTACGTTGCTGATTTAAAACAGATACCATAATTTTAATGGTTTTATCGTCACATTGAAGCAAATACCTTGTAGTTTTATGGTATGGTAGCATATGTATGGTAGATAATCTGGATCATTTTGCACCTTTTTGAGTTACTAAAAGGTAACTGCAAAATATGGCAAAACAATTCACGGGAACTTCGAAAACATTTCAATTTCAATTCATATCGGGTAAGCAGTGCCGGCGGTATAGTGATAAGTGTGACTGCTTCTCACCCCAAAAAGCCTGAGTTCAATCCCAGTCGGTGCCGCCGAAATTTTCTGAGGCATAAAAGGAAGTAACGCGCTGGGTCCCCTGTCCATGAGCTGATGGGTCGATAGGTAGGGTCCAGGTGTGGAAGCTGTCTTCTTGGCGTCGGTAGCATTGGTACTCTGTACGGAAAACAAGATCGACGGAAAATAAATCAAGGAATACAAAATTCTAATCGGGTTGCGGTTATGCATCTTATTGTTTATGGACTATCTGCAAAAAATGTCGAATATTTTCAAAAGCAAACAAAATACGAACTAGGTGTCATGGACATAGTTGAATCCTTCCTACATAAGAAAAAAAAACTGAATAGAATGTATATCTCTTTTAGGGGGATTCATCATCAGTTTGAAAATATTAAAAGAAGCGCATAAGCATGTCAAAAAACTTCTCCCAAGACATCATACCTCTAAAATGTTTTATCAAGGCGCAAACCAATGACATTTTCAACCACTGTGCACTCCTCACGTGCTGGCCCAGTTGATGAGTGGAAAAAAGCGTTCTGATAAATTAATGAGAAAAATGTAACCGACAGCAACAGAAAAAGGAACCTGCACCCAGAGCTCTTGACAGCAGCAGGAAAAAAAAATCACAAGTAGATAGACGTTGAGAAATTAATTGAATTATTTAAATTTCCCATCGTGTTCCGTGACGACGACCGAGATGGAAGGCAGCAGAGGGCTGTCACTTTCACTCACTCATTTACGCTTACGTTCGTTCTATCCCTCCATCACCCAGTTCCAGGCGAAAACCAAACCAAGTGCAAAATACGCCAAATTCCAAAAGTGGTGTCAGTTAAAATGTGAAAAATTCCGGCAGCAAATTTCCGAACCACCCTCCACAGAAGACCGACCGGTGAGCAAGGCGCCAATTTCTTTTCCGTTTGTCTTCCATCGACGGCTGATGCCACGCTTCGGATGCTGCGAGGTGCGAAAAATTGAAGAACGGTAATGGGCAGAATTTTGATTAAAAATGTAAATTTTGCATAGTGGGATGTTTTTCAACTTGGTCATGATGATGATCGTGGGTTGTTTTTGTGGTCAATCATCAGAGCATTATGTGGAAAAGAAATGATTTAATCTTTTTATAGGTAGGTGGAGCAAACATCACCAGCGATGGTTTGGAATTTGAATTTCAATGGATTAAATCAAATTTGCTCATTTTCAGATGTTCCATGAAATTCAATTGAATCGTTTCCATGAAATGGAAAAGCTCCTCTAATTAAAAAGTTATGTGGGCACCCAGGGATTCAAGTTTTACTACCGTTCGTCATTGAACACTCTTCCAGAAAGTTAGTATGATAGGAAGGAGTGTCAAATTACGTGGAATGATTGCTCCAACTTTTCACCCCCTCAATGAAAGGCAATCGAGCTACTTTTCATAGCTGTCATTCTCAATTTTTTTTAACCAATTTTGCGGTGAAGATTTTTCCACACGATTTGATTTAGAGGGAACATTTTTGGGGAACTCTTGCACAGAACGACGGCTGTGGCAGCGCTAGGTCAAGGCGAGAAATAATCAAATGATTAAATGGGATTTTTCGAACGTGAGTTCGCTCTCGGGAACAGAAATAGGTATTCAGGCTCTTTCCTAACCAGTGACCTTTGCTCGATTGCTATCTTTTGAAGGCATCAGCAAGAATTGAAATTCAAACAGCGTGATTATGTATTCCAAGCACCCGTCTGCGTGGTTCGTTCTTAACTCTTCCCCGAAGGAATTATGCAGTGCTTTCAAAACATCGAACACCGAAATGGCTTCTTCCCCTTTAAACAACCCCTTGCTTTATTTGTTCTTATAAATGTCTTCTTCTTCCCCAGTGCTGAACGATTCGTTGAAGCTTGCGGATGTAGCCTGTCCGCCGCTGTTTCCACCGAGGCACGGCTATCTGGAGTGCAGTCGCCCGATCGATGAGATTTCCGATGGACCCAACGGAGGGCGGCTTAAGATCATCAACCGACCGGGCAGTCAGTGTATCCTCAAGTGTCCGACCGGGTACAGATTGGAGGGGAAGTATTCCAAGATTTGCGGAACGACGGGCGAATGGATTGGCGATGAAAGTGGAACGTGCATCCGTAAGTATGGACAAATAAGGGAGGGTGGCGTTTGCTGCTCAGAGGGGAGACTTGCTCCTGTCAGATTATTTTTATGAGGATGAGTTGATTGTTTTATGTATTCTGATTCTATGTATTTTTTTTAAAGATGCAACCTTGCTTACATATGAGTAATGGTTATTCGTTGTTTTAATGATCGGCTTCAATATTTGTTTTAGGCGTGCAGTAAATTTTGTTTTCGGCCGAAATGTCAAAAGTTCTTTTTGTTTTAGAACGTTTTGTTTTGTAGACTATTCCGAAATTAATTAGTTGGCATCGAAATCAAAAGAAAACCATTATTACGTCCCCAGGGTCTTTGGATTAAGTCTAACCACAACCGGGGTCAAACATCATCATGCGAAACACCATATTGGATCATTGCTCTAAATTAAGATCATTACAAGCCTCATTGCATTGAGTACTCAGCACCATCTTGGTGAAACCGGAAAACCTCCAGGGAAGTGGTTAGAATTTGAATTGAATCTTGTGAAAATCCGCCGATATTAAAAAGGGGCAAATCACCCACGACGCAGCTTATCAATGTCCAACTTACCCGTGCAGCAGCTTGAATCCAAATGACCTTTCACCAACTGTCAGGAAATGTGTATGAATGGTCATGACCTACCCAGTTATTATTCATCTCATATCTTCCCTCTCCTTCGGTAGAAAAGTTTTAAATGTGTTTTTTTAAACAATAAGTAATGTTAATGAATCACTGAATTATAACCGGCGCCGGTGGTGTAGTGGTAAGCGTGACTGCTTTCTAACACCCCAATGGGTCTGGGTCAATCCCAGCTGAGGTCGGTGGGATTTTTCTGAGGCATAAAAATCTCTGGTCACGTCTTCCTTCGGAAGGGAAGTAAAGCCGTTGGTCCCGGCCCATGTGTGTTGAATGGGTGCGATATCCTACGCAGGTGTGGAAGCTGCCTTGCTGCACATTCGGTTGCCGTCAATGGATGGCAATCGATGTCCGTCGGTGGTTGACACTAGATTGGGGAACAGAGACCGACGTTAAATAAAGGAAAAACAACGAATCACTGAATGCTGTCAGTTTAAATTTCACTAATATCATGGCGTCACCCACCTTTCTATTGGCATAATATTAATACACTGAAACCTCCATTTACGAACCAAAACGGGGGTTCGTAAATCGAATTAGTGCGTAAAAAAAACCTCGTTATTTGGGATTTACTTCGTAAAAAGAAAACTCGTTATTTGGGATTTACTTCGTAAAAAGAGGTTTTTGAAAATATTGTCAAATACCCCACAATATGGGTATTTTTGGAATCAGGGTGACGTGTAGGGACCGGAAATCGATGTCTGACGCCATTTTGAAATCCAATATGGCGGCTTCCGGTTACAGAAAAACTTGGAAATTCTGCCAAATACCCCACAATATGAGTATTTTTGGAATCGGAGTGACGTGTAGGGACCGAAAATCGATGTCTGACGCCATTTTGAAATCCAAGATGGCGGCTTCCGGTTACAGAAAAACTTGGAAATTCTGTCAAATACCCCACAATATGGGTATTTTTGGAATCAGAGTGACGTGTAGGGACCGGATATCGATGTCTGACGCCATTTTGACATCCAAGATGGCGTCTTCCGGTTACAGAAAAACTTGGAAATTCTGCCAAATACCCCCACAATATGGGTATTTTTGGATTCAGGGTGATGTGCAGGGACCAGAAATCAATATCTGACGCCATTTTGAAATCCAAGATGGTGGCTTCTCGTTACATAAAAACTTGGAAATTCTGTCATATACCCCACAATATGTGTATTTGTGGAATCGGAGTGACGTGTAGGGACCGGAAATCGATGTCTGACGCCATTTCGAAATCCAAGATGGCGACTTCCTGTTACAGAATGGTAGAGGCATCGCTACGGGCCTCATAGCCTAGTCAGTAAAGGCACGGTATTACCAAGCCGGAGGCGGCGGGTTCGATTCCCGGTCCGGTCGAGGGAATCTTTCGGGTTGGAAATTTTCTCGACTTCCCTGGGCATAGAGTATCATTGTGCTTGCCATACAATATACAAATTCATGCATTGGTATTGGCATCGAAAGCTCTCAATTAATAACTGTGGAAGTGCATTTAGAACACTAAGTTGAGAGCACGCAATAAGCTAATATGCGCTAAGCAATAAGCTTGAAATGCGAACAAGAAGAAGAAGAAGAAGAAGAAGAAGAGGCATCGCTACACACCGACTCCCCCGAACTCTCTATAATCCTCACCATCCACCCATAGTCGCACTCACACCACTCAGCTCTCTCGTTCGCCAACACATTTCCGTTCCAATTACTGCAGCTGACTTCACTCGTCACCCACAATCGTTATCGGTGCTACCGTTCGCAATTTAAATTGGAAGTTTGCTGAACAAATGGTGCCCTACGTTCCCACACAAAATAAAAATACAAAATGTTACCATTTAGGATGGTAACAATATTTTGGTGGGAGAGTCAATCGATTACGTCCATGGTTTAAAACTTTTGAACAGTCTAATAAATAAACAGGAGATCCTGGAAATCACTGAGATGGTTCAATAACAAAACAAAAATAAATAGTCCTGCTCTTCTTCATTCTCATGGCTACTATTTACTCTTAATCCGTTTATCCTCATCGTCCATCAAATAATTACCAGCAGCATGCAAATGCGTATCTTGGATCTAGATACCGGTTGTCAACGTTTGATTACTACCTTCTCTTTGTATTTGCTTGTCGTTCCTTGATAACTTTCATCCTTACTTGGCTTTGCCGGAATTGCATACTTATCCCCTGCTGGCGGTTCCGATCGCGTTTATAAATACCGTGATTCAGAGTGGCTCCGTCGAGGGCTCCGTTACCTCAAGTGTGGTTACCTTCACAATTCTGTTAGCAGCATTAAGAAGGACTCGCTCGTTTTCTCAGAACGGCCGTCCCGGTCGCGTTCTCTCCTGTGGCTTTGCCACGGTGAGGAGACGATTTTTGTAAATCTGTCCTCACTCGCATTCAGAACGGCCGTCCCGGTCGTGTTCTTATCCTAGCTTCCTTGCAAGTGGGTGATTTGCCCCTTTTATTACCTATCGGGGGTCTCCAAGATTCCAGGTTCGTGCCCTGTCACGGTCGCCAGAAATGTGAAAATCCGCCAATATTAATTATGAGCAAATCACCCACGACGCAGCTTCTCAATGTCCAACTTACCCGTGCAGCAGTTTGAATCCAAATGACCTTTCACCAACTGTCAGGAAATGTGTATGAAAGGTCATGACCTACCTAGTTATTATCCATCTCATAAATCTAAGCCCATCATGTAGACTGTTTATGATGGATTTAGATTCAAATCAGACATACAGTTTAGATCACTTTAGCAGCTTAAAGGTTGAACACGAAAAAGTCACTGCCATTAAGGCATGTTTTGAGTACTTTGTTTTTTTTTTCAAAATTTCAGTTAATCAAGCTAAGAGTGTATAGAATCACAGTAGGCATTGGTTGTCAGGATATGTTTATTTGTTTACATCATCTATTTTTCAAACCTGCACGCTCCTGACAGTATTTGGTCAAATTTCTGGGCAGGAATTTTGTACCCCGGTTGACCGGAAGAGTGCCCCGGAAGAATGTAAAATAAAAAAGAAGCTGGAACTCCCCAAAAAGTTCCTTGTCCAGCAAATTTACCAAGAGAAGTGCCTACGAAAGAGAACACAGCCGTTTATGGAGCAGCATGAGATGGATTGCCTATTCTGGCCGAAGTTGGCAAGCTGCCGCTACTCAAACGATGGTCCTACGATAAGCATAATTCCTACTAATGCATAGCTGTTACATTGAACTATGAAAAATCAAATGCCTTTTTAATCCCTTTTTAGATTTTCGGTGCGGGGTTTTTTCGTGTTCAACGTTTATAGTAACAAAAGTATTCAACATGGTCTCGCTGGTTTATGAAAATAAGTAACGCATAATTTCAACTCTCCAGTCAAAGGTTATTTTTTTCCAAAGAACATACCTGCTTTTGTAAATAAAGATTCAATTGTTAGATTGGCAATAATTTTAACCCTCCCACGCAAACTAAGGTCACAATCTTGTTTGGGAAACATTACCCTTTCTAATAGTGGTGTAAGATTGCTGTAAGAGCTTCGAAAAATTGACGTTTGAATCTTTGCTTACCAAAGCAGATACGTCCTGTTGATAAATTGTTCTTGATATAATTGTTAACTTTTTTCGTACTTTATCATTGAAAATAAAATAAAAATTGTTGGGATTATTGGACATTTCGTAACAGTAATATGTATCGTTGAATTTGTTGACAGGAATTCTCGTAAAATATTATTATATGGAAATATTTAAAATAACCATTCTGAGAAAACGAAACTATTTTTTTTGTTTGCTTTAAGGGCTGTGGACCAGAGCTGGTAAATATCACGGCCGTCATGTGACAATGAGAAAACAGGTCCTCTCACTATCATGAGACGAGACTACCTATCACGATATTTCTTGTCATTTTCCAATGATCAAGCACTCATGAGAATAATTCTTATGCGGGTTTGACATCAACATTTCTACCAAATTTAGATGAATTTAAGCAAGCAACCGTATGTAATCGGTAGAGTGAATATATTATTAAGATTTTCTCGTTACAAGTAACTTTAATAGCAATAAATGAGCTAGATATTACGATGATCACAACACTGTCACGTTCTGTCATGACAAAAAAATCGATGAGATTTTGAAAAAAATCGTTTTATCATCCGATGATAGTGACAGAAATATCTCTGTAAATATCACGTGAGATTTTTCATTGAAAATGACATTAACCAGCCCTGGCTGTGGTGAACAATTTTTACTAAAATTTTACAGATTGATAGTTTTTAAATAACCATGTTCATTAGACTGATGCAAAATTTGAAATTTTCGCTCTTCAGAGCTCAAACGATTTCAAATCAGGTCTTGATTAGCCTCTCAAAATTTAAACTCACTTGGTTAGAAACTGACTTGGCACAAACTATTCAAAGTTTATATGGAAATTACTATGGGAAAACCAAACTTTTTGTTCATTGTCTTCTACCCACTTTCCATATTGCTTTTTCAAAAATTTCTATAACTATTATTACGGGAAATTTTCTAAGCTACAACTTTGCGCAATATCGTTTTTCAGCCAAATGTCAAATTAAATTGTTATTAATTGCTTAAGAGATTGATAATCTTATGGCATGATCAAGCAGCTGTTCTGTAGGCAACACTGTATTCTGCAGTGTGACATAATAGCCATTATATTTGTGCTCTATTCTTCGCACCAGAAACACCAATGTTGCCTGCTGAACAGTGGAATGAGCATAATCATAAGACATCAGTGACTTGAATCATTAATAATTTTTGTTCCTTACATATGATTGAAAAGTAGCTTCCAACAAAGTTGTAGCTGAGAAAATTTGCTACAATCACTGCTATCATTTTAAAAGCATAGTGATGTGGTGAATTGTTAGATATATATGAACAAAAACATAAGTTTTCCCATAGTAATTCCCATATAAACTTGAAATGGTTTGTGCCAAGCCAGTTTTTTACTAAAGTAGTTCAAATTTTGAGAGGCTAAGCAGGACCCAATTTGGAACCGTTTAAGCACTGTGGAGCGTAAATTTCAAATTTGGCATCAGTCTAATGTTCATTCAAGGGTCCCTGCTATTTAAGTGTACTCTTTTCTAACTGACAAGTAATTTTATGTTGACAATCTGCAATTCGAATTCAGTTTTGAAAGTAAATTTTATGTGAAAATTCGCCAACTCTCTTCAAATTATAACAATATTGTGTTGGTAGCTTCAGCAAGGATGAACCTCATCAAACGCATATTCGCCAATGAATAGCACTGATTTTCAAAACTAACGTAATTCATCTACACTGGCTTAATACAAATGTCAAACCACTTAATTTCAAATTCCTCAAAACAACTAAACACGTACTCACAGTGCATCTTTCCTGATTGTTCTCCGATCCATAACTCATACACCACCTGCACTCTGCCCAGTGTCATCATATCAGCATTCATCCAGATTCTGCCTTTAAAATATATAGACCTTCCAACACAATTCGTTCACTCCAAGATTGCATCACCACCATATCGGGTTGAACTTTTTCCCAGCACGAAACTATTAGCTAAACTAGCGCATAAATCAAACGAATGTCACAACTTTGCACCCAGCATCCTTGACCCCATCGAGTGCCACACCATGTGTGAGTTTGCTCACATACATATATGTTTTTATATTCAATGGACGTGTGCTGATGATCATCTACTGCTCGTTAGATGAAAGTAGGAAAAAGCGGGAAGCTGTGGGAAAAGTTTGTCCTCTCCGGAGTGCCAGCTGGTCAGCGAATACCATACACACACACATATACGAAGATAAGTGTCCCCGGCAGCATCAGATGCCGATGACTGGTCATCATCACCACTGCATGAACCTTTGCCCTACACTTGTGATTCCATTTTTCTTCCCTCCGGAATGGCTTTGTTTATAATTTAACAAACGAATATCTGGCACCCCTGGAGAACGAGAAAGCACCACGATGCAATGCGATGTAAAACTTTCACTTGTGGTTTCAGGAATCCCGTATTCAATGCAATTCACTTGAGACAAAAAAAAACTACTCCTAGTTAGTTCAAAGGGGACCACTTGCCGCGTTCAATTAGGTGGAAACACAATCACACACAATTGGCTCTGCTCACTCAATGCAAGCACACGTGAACAGGTTGCAAAGGAACAAGTTTTTCCCTATTTCCTTTTTCCCTTTGATTCGAAAGCATTGAACGAACCAACCTGTAATTGCTGACTGGTGTATTTTTTTTCTATCGTTCTTTTCCCACAGGGTATCCTCAGCCGAAGCTAACCTGCCCGACGAGCGTGAACGTGGAACTGCATCCGAACGAGACGGATCAGACGGCGGTCAAGCTGAGACGGCCGAAGACGGATGTGAGCTGGGAGCGGGACATTGTGGTCGAACCGTTCTGGGCCAAGAAGGATGTCCTTCTGCTGCCACTCGGGCCGGTCAATATCAGCTATACGGCCAAACATCCGGTTTCCAAGCTGACCAGCAGCTGCACCTTCGTCGTCAATGTGATGGGTGAGTTTTGATGGGATTTTTCGTTTGTTTCTTTGTTCGTTGCACCAGATCGGTTGTTGCAATTGAGTGACCTTTTTAGTTTTTGCCATACGCTCTATAGATTTATGCCCTGAATAATATGTCGTTACTGTTGGTGCATTGCTTGAAGTGAGGTTCTTTCAATGTATATTAACCAGAATATCGTGTGAACAGATTTAATCCTAGTATACAAATCCACAAACATAAAATCAACGAAAATGTGCCCAAATATCTTATTTGCAGCTCGATTTGTACAATTTTATGCTAATTTCCACCGTTTAAAATTACCAACATTAAATACTTACACAAGGAAAACATATGAATGCATACACATAATATGTGCGTAACGTTCAATTTTGGTTTGTTATTGATTTTGAAAGCTTTCATTAAATTAAAACAGACGTTTGTGAAAAACTTGCGCACTCTTTTCAGTGAGGCAAAAGTACGTAGTTGGACCTCTTTTATTTATTCGAATTGTGTCCACATAGCCCAGGAATCGATACGTTAATTTTGAAACTAAGGGCGTACTCTTGCCCCACTATATTCTATGCCTGATGTAGTGCACCAGTTCTAGAGGCAGATTCATTTGCTGATCCGGTCGAGGAACTATTCAGGATGAAAAATTCATCGTCTTATATTCGATGATTGCGTCACTTACCACCATTCCTGAGAATATGCAGATTTCAAGCAAATTGTAAAACTAATAAAATGCTGAGAACTCGTTTGAAGTACTAACAAAGCTCAGCACGGGACGGTACAATAATTGTAATCAACTGTTTTCAACCACCCTCTCCACAGCTGGCAGACCACCGACGGTCGACTTCTGTCCAGACACCCAGATCTACACCATCGAGGGTCGCCATCAAAGCGTGAAGGCCACCTGGGAGGAACCAATCTTCTCCGACAACGTAGGGGTCGTCACCATCACAAAGTCCAATGTAAGTATCCTCTATTTGCTACGACTTAAAAAAAAATCCCTCCCTTCTTACACCGAATAAATTATAATCCCACCTCCGTTATGGTTTCATCTGTGGCTGGTAATTAGAGCCCGGGGACGGATTTCGGCGCTGGCAGCCATCTCATCACCTACGAAGCCCACGACGAGGCGGAATGGAGCTCCAAATGTGTCTTCAAAATAGTGGTCAACGTCAGCAAACGAAAGGACGTCCAACATTTTCAGCTCCCGATCCTTTATAATCGGTTTTACTTTTAATTGTGTGGCGGTCCAGCACCGACCATGGCGACAGCGACAGCGTCTCTTTGATTTTTTCCTTGCCAGGTTTCCGGTACATTTTTTTTCCCTTCTTTACATCAACCCACTTATACCAGGGATCGAGAAAAAGCTGCTTATATTAACCTTTTTTTTCTGTCCGCTATCTGTAACCATTTTCAACTTTGTTACCAAGCACTTTTTGCTGCCATTTGGGAAGTGCACTCGGAAATATCTGTTCCAAGTTGCAATCGTTTCTGGGATGTGGAAAAAGTTTTTTTTTTTGCGAGGAAAAAAATTCATCGGCACAGTATTACAAATGCAAGAAAAAAAAAGAACTACATGACAAAACATAAAAAGTGAAAATGAAAACAATAATAAATTGCTTTAGCGAACGAGGAGAAAGCATTACTATACACAACTGCAAACACATCCCTCCCTTCTTTCGGAAAATGAAAAGTGACATAGAGAGAGAGAGAGAAGCAGAATAATAAGCAGAGCAAAAACTAGTTTGAGATAAGGACTTTTGTAAATAGTTTTGGCTTAGAATCGGATGTTGCAAGCGGGCAGAACAATGAACAATACGGAGAGGCAATAGCGGAAAAATGCAACGCTGCTGTAATAAAACAAATGTTTCGAACCAAATAATAATAAATGGAAATGAACGTCGTGACGACGGAAAGTGTAGTACATAGTTGTAAAGTGAGAAATGCTTGAGCTCCGAAGTCGACGAGAGTATTTACGAAACGACTAAAGCAAAATGCCATTGGCAACAAGTACACAGGACTAGCATTTGTACGAGCCAGCAATGGAAATTCATCAAGATTGTAGTGAGATGCGCAGTAGGCCAGGCAGTAATCTATCAACACAGCTGAGGGCAGTTGGTCTTCGAAATAATAATAGAAGAATCAGTATGCTTTTATTTAAACAGAAACCAGAATTAATGGACGGAGTGAAATAATGCTATAGTGCATATTATAAGCCCATAGGTGGTAAGTGAAGGAAACTGCAACAATATATAACTTTAAAACAAAACATATGGTTGTTAAACATGTTCCTGAAAGGTGATGACTTCCATGTATTGGGGATTTTCCATTAATCTTCACGGCACTTTCTCCACTAGTAAAGCAAGTTACTCATCACCCTCCTTTGGTTGTCACTGTTGAAGATAAGCACGTTTGAGATATTAACGACATTTGCAATTCGGAGTCATACGTATTGTCTAGCATAGAAAGGGAAAGCATTTTCGATTGAGAACAACTTGATACCGTGTGGGACCAAAATCCGTACAGCTAAGCACGAGAGAATCATTAACGGTCAATACAAAATAATGCTATCACATTATGCCCTGTATCACATCTTTTTCATATACATTTATCTTTATTTTACCATTATTTGCAAACACCAGGTCTTAAGATTACCTTTAATTATAAGAAAAAGTATTTAAATTGCACACATCTTGAATCAAAATCCGTACAGCGTTCTACGATTGAATCAAAATCCGTACAATTTTGAATCGAAATCCGTACACTGTGTTGATGATTTTTTTTTTTTTTTTTCCTTTTGTTTGTTTTTTCCGTCGATCTTGTTTTCCGTGCTGAGCACCAATGCTACCGACGTGCCAGGAAGGCAGCTCCCACACCTGTACCCTACCTATCGACCCATCAACTCATGAACCGGGGACCAACGGCTTTACTTCCCATCCGAAGGAAGGCGTGATCAGAGATGTTATGCCTTAGAACATCCCGGCGGCGCCGGCTGGGATTGAACCCAGGCCTGCTGGGGTGAGAGGTAATCACGCTTACCACTACACCACCGGCGCCGTTACTGTGTTGATGATGAATCATGTAAAATCGTGCGCTGAATCCAAAAATGTAGTCCGAAAAAATCTCAATAGGATATTTTTTGAGATATAGCTAAAAAATAAATTCTCACTTTAAAAAAAAACGTGTTTACTAAAACCACAAATACCTCCGGCTGCAATGAAGTAATACTAATTATTTTATACGTGATAATCTCACTAACAATTGATGTTCAATTGATCGAACGAAAAATTTCTTACCTCTAATTTAGCGTTAAAATAATTGCTATTTATATTGTTGGATTCAGCGCACGATTTGACATAAGAATTATTCGTCAAAGGATCAAGTTCATTTTTTTACTTTTATTTTTTTAACTAGTAATATCAGCGTTAGATTAATTGATGCTCCAGTCGATTCAAAGGAAAGGTAACCGATTTCTTTTTATTTAAGAAGGTGACTGCACTGGATTTTTGTGCTAACTAATATTATGTTTATGGATTCAATTTTCTCCAAATTTTATTCTATACCAGTGCTTTGGGTTAAATATAGGTCTTTGAAATTTGACATGTGATAACGTGCAAGATGCGCCATACTTTGGAACTTGGGTGTACTCCAGCTCAACGCTACAAAACATTATTAACCGGGACTAAACTGGGCGGTGTAGCTTGGACAATGTTGTCGAATCACAAATGGCAAACTGAAGAGAAGACTGCCGAAGCATCTTTAATACACCGATAATGGAAAAGTTCCACCAACCCACTGGCATCAAGCGATAGAATAAGCGGTTCCTAAGATGGTAGCCCTATAATGGCGGATAAGTGGAAAAAAATTACAACCATCTTAGAAACCAACAAAACAAGACAATGAACTGTTTTTCGTTTTGTGCATGAAAAATAAAATAAACGTAAGTTAACGACTAAAACTTAATTTAATTTAAAACGTCAAGAGAGTAATAATCATAAAAATGCAGATCTTTCATTGCTTCTTTTCCGCAGCTTTCTTCTGCTTCTTCTCCATTGTCGCCATTGCCTCATCAAATTATAATGCTTTCTTGCTTCCAACTTTCTTTCCTCTTCTTCCTCTTCTTCCTCCTCTTCCTCTCTTGCTCAACCTTTTTCTTTTGTCGTTCCTCAATCCTTTGTTTCTTTGCGTTCTCTTTATCAATTTTCTCCCGTTCACTTTCATGTAAGGGAGAACAGCCCATAATGCACCCCTGGGGTAAAATGCCCACTTTTAGAAAAACAGCGATAACTTTTCCTCAGATGCATTTTCCGGGTAACGGTTTGTGATTGTTTTTCAACTGGAGGTTTCACAAATAATTCTTGATCATAAAATCTGACCTGCTGATTCCATAAAAAAATTACATTTTGTGCAGAACAGGACACAGTTGTTAAAATCATCGACTGTAAATTAAGCTTTTAACATCACATATCACAAAAAAAAATAACAAATTTACGTTTCGTATATTTTTTAGATATTTTACTTGATGAATCACAGTTTAACATTCTATTGAGATTTTGAGACCTTATTTCTGATGTAACATAAAGAAATAATCATTTGAAATACCGCTTCCCTTTGCATTATCTACTTGCAGGGGTTATGGTTTGTTTACCATGGGGTGCATTTTACCCCAATGTTGTGGTGCGTTTTGGCCATTGTTGTCGTGCGTCTTGTCCCAATGTTGTGGTGCATATTGCATCATGAATCAGGCGTTTTGCCCCGCTATCATTTTGGAAGCAATTTAGAAAATACCTTGAAAGTCATGGAAAATCATCCTTTTGTAGTTCTAAATCACTCGATCTTTGTAGAAAACATGGTAATGAACCAAACGCCATTACTTTCTTCTTGATTTTAGCTTCCATTCGCCAGCCATTGACGATTTTGCTTAAACGGTGCGTTTTGCACCATCCTACCCTATATTTCCGGCCATTCCTCGCTGGTGGCTACTGTTGGGAATGCTCTCTTGCCCATTTCTGTCTGCTCTCTGTAATTTGTATATGCGTGTTAGTGATATCCTGTAGGGGAGCTGCGCTGTTTTCCTTTTCGGCTGGTTCGTGACGCTCTTCATTAAAAGATATTAATAATATAACATTTACAATACGAATAAAATAAGAGAGTAGCGATTCAATACGGCATCTCTTATGGTGGTGAATGGAACGGCAAAATCTCTGGATGCTTCTAGGTAAGATTTCCCCGCACGCATCATTGCCACAGTCTTCTCCAAATCCTCCGGCGTGTATGTAGTATGATCTGCTGAAAAGCATTGGATAAAGTAGAATCGTCATTGTTAACGCACAAGTAGACGGATTTAGAATCAGCTGTTATATTTGGATCGAAATCCGTACAGTACTAATTTTGATAAATAAATACCATATGAATGATCCATTGCTTAGAATTGATATATAAAACGATAAACACTTACCTTTCCGATCGACCTTCAGGAAACTACTTGCAAAAATCACTTAAATACGCTTAACAACTGGAAGTAAATCCGAGAGATTTTCTTAGAAAATCGTTAAGAACGCAACCGATTGATAGAAATGCCCGACACGTGATAAGGTTTTTATTTTTCTTATTTTAATTGCATGACATACTGCTTAACTGTTGACGTAAACATCAAGCTAATGCATGAATGAACATGAATATGTATTCATGTATAATATTTACATTGCTTTGATGCATATAAATAAAAAAAATTCAACAGGGTGTACTGATTTCGGTGCTGTACGGATTTCGGTCCCGCACGGTATATATCATCGATAGGCACATTGCAAAGTAAGCTGTCCGAAAAGTGTTTCACCTTCCTTGGTGAGCGAGCGAACTGCGAATGTGTTCACCAAGGGACCGAGAGCTCCGCATCGAGGAAATAAATTAAGTTTCGTACGCTTTCACTGAAACACCATTACATTAGGCTCAATCATGAGTTCAAGCGAATAAGCCGACGATGCTAGTTGGTGTTCAAAGAAAATTCAAGCCGCACCCGAAGTCTTTCTAGTATTACGTAAATGATCAGCACAGACATTCCGGCCTACCATCGTCTGTGGTGTTCAACGGGAAGCCGCTTACACCCCTCAGTTACCGCTTGTTTTCAGACAATTTTTGTTATTCCATGATGGATATAATTATCAGTCAAGAGGGACTAGACCCTTTGTAACGAGTACCATATTTCTGAATTCAATTTTCATCAATATTTGTTAGGAACATGAATTTAAAATAAATCTCATAAATAATCACCGCAGTCGTTGAGTGAATTCTATTAGTAGGTAACCGGAAAAGTGCTACGGTTGCGGGCTCTCAAGTTTCAAGTCAACATGCGCATGGACGAAACATTTCACAATGCTGCATTGGAGCATGGACCATTTATGCTGCAATACAGATGACGGTGATGCGGCGGATGAACGGAGGGGTTGGCGGTGAATCACCCGGTGTCTTTCCTTCACGGATACAGGTGGAAAATGCTGCAGATGAACGCGTTGGTCGGTTTAGAAACTCCCGATGCTACTTAGCGTCGACACGTGGCTTGTGTGACGCGGTATGATCACTGATCGCGCTTTGGTCGTCCCCAAAAAGATGATCGCGGTTTTGTTACTAATGTGGCCGTTCCGCCCTGCCTAGGGCGCGTTTCTAACGGTCGCGGCCCTCTTCCAGCGTACCCCGGGTTACCTTCGAAACCGATGGTGGGGCCAGAAATGGTCACTAGCTGAATGAGTGGTGTGTCAGGCGTGCACAACCTTCGCCACGAATCTGTATAAAGGAAACCGTTGCACAAGCACGTGTTAAGCCTCTATCGCACAAACCAGAAATTGTCACCAGTTTTACCTTCTTCCTCCAAAATCACTACACACGCTTCACACACTGCTCGGAACGAATAATGCCTATCGAAAGAACTAATGGGAAAGGATTCTTAAGTTTCACTAGTTAGAAAGAACCTCATGTCACTTCTACCTTACTAAACACACCACAGCGCGAGATTACGGGTGGACCACTCCTGCCTCTTCCACTGATCAGTCCAAAGTGATCGATAGATTCTTGGGGATCCTCAGATTAAACGCATTATCGTAATCTTCGGCACCGGAAATCACGTAAATCTAACGAAGTTAGATATTCGTGATACAACGAAAATTGTTCTCATGCTCTCATCAATTGCATCCCCCGCTATCGGCATCTTGCTCTAACAAACAACTCCAATCATCCAATTCGCTGCTCGGCTCAAAGTTCAGGGATAGG